CATCGAATGTTTCTACTCACAGGTAACATCCCAGTTCCACTATCAACTAACATAAGCCTCTGGAAGCGCTTTAAATCATATTTCTCCAAACAGCAGCTATTCCAAAAAGATATGTACTTGCCTCGCAAAAGTACGTGAATCGATTGTAATAACCGACTTCGCTGTGTTGTCTCTTTTTCAAAAAGTGCAACGATGCGATTAGTTTCCGACGAACACTGACGACATTTGTCATTAATGGGATCCTGAGCGAGTGGATCTTCGTTCATCAACGCACAAAAAACTGTCTAGACATTTTCTGCCCTAGAAGGGCGTTGTGAAACTCGCTTTGCGTTGAATATTGCCGCAGAAATCAAGAAGTTCTTATTTCTACTTCCTTATTTATTCTTTTATATTTTGTTACTCTTATGTTTAAACTTTGTTCTACTAATGTACAGCTTATTTTGTCTAATCAATAATTATACCATGAATTATATTGTACAAACTCGATGTGCAGTTTCTTGTATTGCGTCAATGGCATCCCATAACAGTTTCTTACTCCGTAAATCGTAGCCACGCCGGAAACCAGAGATGGCAGTCGATTCGCTGGAACAATTTTTTGCGAAACAAAAAAATAAGAAAAAAAACAAGCATTTTTGCTCTTCCTAATAGAGTTATCAAGCAAATATCGATAATATAAAGGATAAAGGATAAAGCATTTGCCGTTGATCAATCCCTTTTTGGGATGCGGCACGCATTCTACTTCCATTTGTACATTCGCAGTGGCATTTGAATGCGATGTGGCCTATACAATGACTTGCGGGGCCAGCCGATGTACAAGTCAGTGTTTTTATCCTCCCAGACAAGTCTGGTACCAATTAACCGACCCCGGAGGGATTGGCTTGGCCCGGGCGACTCACGACCCAGGATTTGATCCCCGGACCGCTCGCGTGGTAAGCGTGCCACTTGCCACTACACCACTTCCGCCTGATAATATTATACATGCAACCATAGTGATGAGGAAATAATGTTGGACTCCTGCCCCTCTGACTCTTAAGAACTGGCCGTAAGGACGGTAACACCTACTTGCCCTCACATTCCGGTATAGTCATGAGTCATGACCAAATCAGCTCTTCCCTTCGCGTAGTCCCACCACACTCCCATCCCTTTCCCATCAACGTGAATTGGGTTTAGGTCCTGAATAGGCAACTCTTCAGGATTTTCTATCTTTTATCTTGAAAGTCATGTACATAATTCATTAAGATTGTCAAATATCTTCCATATATTATTTTTTACTCACTTTAGCTACTGTCTTTGTACTGTGTTCAAATCATTATATGCTCTTGTATTTCAATTGTGAATATCTGCCAAATAAGTGAATAAATAAATAAATAAATAAACATGTCAAAATGCCGCGATGATTTCGGCTCGGAAGCCAGAATGCACGGCGCACTGTTCGATAAAAGATTACTTCCAAAAATCAATATCGAAAGCTTCATCCTCTGTTAGTAATCAAAATTAGAATTTTAGAAGTGGTGTTCGAATAAGCTTTGAAATTCAGTGTTTTTGCCTGAGCAAATTAATTTTAACATTCTCGCTACCACTGGAGTTCACGTGCACTGAAAAGACGCTAATTACTGCGGCCTTGCCATCACTTTGACTATCGTGATACTTTCCTAGAATCAAGGACGTCGCCGAAGTCGACGATTGCGATAGAGGATATCGATCATATAATAAATTTTCGCTGCCAGTCGGAGCCATCGGGAGGCAACAGCGTAACCTTTTCTATAGCTCTATCTTCATTCTAGTCCTCTCAGACTACTTCTGCAATTTGAGCGATTACTATCGGAAATCTGTATTAATTGAGAAATACGTATAACACTTGACTTTGATCAGCTGTGCACCAGATAGTTAGAGCGAGCGGCGACAGTTGCGCGAGAGAAAGAGTAACCTACATTGCATAGAGATTTGTCACTCACAAAGGTCGAGTCACAGTCTCTGGGTGCTTTCGCGGTGAAAAAAAATTGATTTTTTTTTGACATCATGGCTTTCTTCCTACTGGAATTCGGACTCCTAGCATTCGTGTATTACACCTTTCGAACCTTATACCTTTAGTTTCAAATATTTTCTATTCCTAGGTATTTCACCATTAAGCCAGGCCTCTCTCCTATTTGTCACTAATATAGAGTACTCACTTCAATCTCCACATGGAATTCTTCTCAAGTCGATAGCTCTTCTTTCCTAATAACTCTGTTATTTTCTATTCCTTTCTTTTTTGAGCTGATAATAGTGTGTATGACAACAGCCTAGTAAATTTCACAAAAGTTTGGAATATGGCGCTGAGACTGGTATTTGCAACTATCATCTTCACAGCATTGCTACACTCCACCGCTTTCCCCCTCCCCCATAAACTCTCTCTCGTTCATCAAAGAGCTATGCCGCAACTTCGGTGGTGGGTTTTCTCCACGAGGTAAGCAAACCAGCCCTTTTGGCGTTTCTGCTGGGGCCGTATGCTGAATGTTGGGGAGGGGATGGGTCCCCGAGGTCGACGGACTACTTGAACTCGGTCGGTACGGTAGGAGAGTGATGACGAAGTGGTGCAGCTAGGTCCAGCAGCTCCGCCAAAGGGCTGGTTTGCTTACCCAGGACTAAGCCTTGGAGAGAGGACGGACCTGCGCTCTCTCGCAGGTCCGTCCTCTCTTTAAGGCTTAGTCCTGAGGTAAGCATCAAATTGAGGCGGTTAACACGTTGACGACATCGCGCGTTTTGGCATTTTTGGCCGCGTGGGACCAGAGCGGTTCTGCGAGCGCCGCCGCCTCACAACAAATCTGTGGATTTTGAGCTTTAAATACGCAATACTTCGATGCGACAAAATGTTTTCACTGATATTCGGTGTGTCAAACTTATTGGAAGGTACACATGTGAAAGTGCGGTCGAATGATGTGTTACAGCATTGAAAAGGCAAGTTTCACTTACTTTGCTTTAGTGATTTCAAAATTATTTTGGACGTGGTTGTTTCGGTAAAAACACATATCTTGCCACACGAGTAGCTTTGTACTCACTTCTAATATTCTTTTTTATCTACATGTTCGTGTTAATGAAGAGAAAATGAGGAATGAACTGAACGGATATTTTCGTCCGGTCCGAAAAACCTCTGCCAAACTAAAGAATATTTGGTCATTCTATAAGCCGCGTGGTTCTTGGTTATGTTGTGGTATGGCCTAGAAAATGAACACAAAAAACCTGGGAAGAAATGGCGCGTTCAAGAAAAAACTGAATGTAAAGGGTGTGGCAACTATAGTTGCCACAATGTCCATTGCGGCGTGCAAAACGCGGCAAACCTAGTTGCCGCGCTGTCGTCAAGGTGTTAAGCCACGAGTTCATATCCTCGACCGGGGCCCCGCAATCTCCGCTCCAACTTTAGCATACGCCCCAGCAGGAACACACTAACCGGGCTGATTTCGTAATTTTGTTCTCCACTACACTTTGTTACCTATCCTCACTAATTGCATTGAGTTAAGCACATTGCCTAGCCCTTGTCTTAACTATAAAAGCTCATATCCGCTCAGTTCAATCATGATACCTCGACCCTTTTCCGAGCATCCTTGTGTTTTCTCGAAATAAAATCGTCTATTGTTGCAAGACTCTGATCTACGCATGTCATTTTAGTTCTTGTATTTTGACAACAACGGCTTTCATATAAAACTAGGTCATTTTATGACAGTAGCTAAATTTTCACCAGTTTCGGAAAACATCCAGAAAGTTCGGAAATCTAGCGAAGGCACATTTCCCTGAGCCCACTTACTTGACCACTATCTAAGTCACCAGCAACCTCAGACACCAAACAGTATTCTTAGAATGAATTCTCGCCCACCAAGTATTTCCAAGAGTATCCCTTTTGTCACTATATGACTGAACCAATCTTGGGTCTCATCCAGTAAGTGGGGGGGGCCATACCGATTAGAGAATTTCAAACCAGGGAATGCACATTAATATGTCGACTTCGTAGAGTCTTAGAAGGCAGTAGTCCCCTCGGTCCCAAGCAGCAATCTTGTTTTCCCACGGCGATTCCTCCCCCTCTTATCTTAGTCCTGCCTGCTGACTTAAGGTGATATACTTTTCGTGGGGCGTAAGTCATCCTCTGTCTAAGAATACAACAGATTACACGAACACCTGAAGTAACTAACCCTAGAAAAAGAGCTGATCAGCAAGTCGCAACTACTTAACAGGACTCCTTGACCAATTCGCGTTAAGAAGATCATGCACCGCAATCCCCTCTTACCGATGAGACGCCCAAGTCTATCATTTGTTAAATATGAGTTTTGTTCTTAGAAAAACAAAAACTTTAGCCCAAACAATTATGTACAGAAGAGGAGAAGGGGGTACGGTAAATGATTTTTACCCGCTCACCCATTTTGACAAATTTTGGAGAGAACATATTGGTGTGCAATTTCTCCTCTACATCGAACAATTCTTTCTTGGCTTACGCGTATGTACTACAATCGAAGCGTACCCGAAGATTCCACTGGCTGCGATCCACGCCGGAGGCATTTCTTTCTAGCGATCTTGCAGCTTGTTTGTTACAACGAACGAAGAACGTTGACTTCCCGGTACGCTGAAGCATTTTAGAAGGCAGATAGCTGTGAAGCTATTAATGTTGCTGTGATGAAGCTATTAAGTTATGTAGCCTCGTAGTCTTTCGAGATTGACTTCTTTTATAGGGTGCTTAATTCGTTTGTTTCCTTTATCGCTGAATGTTCCGTTTTGTTATGAGGTGCATCTACGAAGTTGTGCTTTTTTTAATGAATTTCTTTCCTATGCTTTGAATATTTTTAAAAATCACACCCAATCCCTCATCGATTCTGCACTTGAAGATTGTTCACTAGGAATTTTTGCGCAAATTTTTTATGTTTAGACGATGCTGTTACCAATGAAGACATAGGTTGAAGCTTTGTTGCAGTTCACAAACTAATGATTTTAATTTTGTGAATGGTTTAGGTCGATCCACTCGAAGCGATTGAAAAATGTTTCTTCTCTGGCTGTTTCCCTACCTAGCCGCTCTTGCATTCCTTCTCCTTTGGCTGTTCTACGAGAACACTAAACGCTATCCAAAAGGACCCCGTCCTTATCCATTCGTCGGCAACCTGCTTTCGGTACACGTTTCCATTGTTCTAAAGTACGTACCTATTTCACCCATGCATTATTTCAGCTAAACCTTCGCAAAATCAAAAAGGACTTCGATGAATATTCCAAGAAGTACGGTGGTGTGTTTACTGTATGGCTGCCGAAACCTTACGTTGTCATCACCAAACACGAACTTGTGAAGGAAGCTTTTTCCAAGAAAGGTGAGATTCCTATCACCTGCGTTGCTCTGCTATCTAAATCAAGTTTTACTCACCATAAAAAATAGAAATAGCTGATTATGAAATGCTTGCCAAATTTGGAGCCGCCATCCATGTGCTGGAAGTCAGCGCTTCACTTCAAAGGAATCCTTCGCGGAAAATTCTTGCATTCTTTCTTGACATGTCAGTTGTGATCACTGGAAACAGCACACAAAGTTTCACGCATGAAGATTCGGTTTCTGAAGAGAAACAAACGTACAAAAACTACACTCTATGGACAATCGAAGGTAATTCGGGCGGAGCCAAAGGCGAGGCATGGAAAGAAGACGGCCTTTGGCCGGCTACGTATCAGGCGACGCAATGAAAGAATCGGGTTAAAGCGCGCGATTTCGGAGAGTCAAATCGATCGATAGAATAGGATGGAGTAGAAGTGTAAGATGTGAATGCAATAAGCAGAAGGCCAGAAAGAGTTTCTAGTGAAGGCACTCCAAGAACCAAGTGGAAGCATCCCCGTCGCCAGCATTTGTGAAAGACGTCCGTGGGCACTTTGAACGCGTAGCAGCCCTTTCGATTTTTCGAATTTTTTACCAAAACAAAAGCAATATTTCTGTTCTTTTCATTCTTATCGTGGATAATGAGTCTCAAGCCAGTGATTTATGGCTGAAATAGAATCATGATTTTTCCGTGAAGGATTCCTTTAAAATTCCGTCCGGCATTCTAGAGACTTCGTATGAGCATTTATCCACATATTAGTGGCTAATGGTATAGAGTTCCAAGCGCTCACACGTGCTTCCATCTCTAGACCAAATCCTAGCGATTCAACTGTTTTGAAACTTCTTAATTTTGCAAGCTTTCCGTAAACTTGTCTATTTATTTTTATTTATTGACCTTTGATGTTTATACTGGGTAGTCAGTCACAGCTTTCTTCTTGAGCTCATCAATTAGTGCAAAACAAATGGTTACCCGTGAGAGATCGACTTAATCATCTAGTGTGTTACCCACATGTCTTTCCTGCTTTTAAAGGCAAGATTCGGGATGAAATGGGTGCAGAAGAGTATTCAGTAAAGAAGCTGGAGGTGGGGAACGGTCCGGCAAAGAAAAGGAAGCAAGAGACACTCCCGACCAGGGTCAACCGTCCGTTGGACAAAGTCCAACGCGACGACGAGAGTAATGCCGAGAGTGAACGTACGCACGGAGACACAGACGGCTCGCGGGTGGCGAGAGTGAATGCCGGCGCGGAGAGCGCT